AATACCTTCGCCATTTCTGAATCATTTCTTTGAGCTGAAGTGAAGTTTTCTTTACAGGACTTCACAGGATCAGGAACTTCTCTCTCAGAAAGGATCTCACAAGGAATCATCTTTATTCCAATTTTACTAGAATCTAATAGATTTCTCTACTATTTGAGCAATGATTCATTAGCGTCTTCTCAGAAAACCTAAAAATTCACTAGTGCAAAAAAAAAGAACTTGCTTAAAGCTAAAAGAACCAAAATCCTACTAGTCGCAGCTTAAATTCAAAGAAACTTAAAAATATTCTGCTCTCAACCTAAAAGTCTGCCGGAAGTTATCAGGTAGGAGAATTCGAAATTTTAGCTTAAGTCCATTTTGCTTGCTAGATGGACTTTTCATGGATTTTTGACGCAGGCAATGAATCGACTATTCAAAGTTTTTCAAAAAATGCCACACTCTCTTGCGGTTGCATAAGAAGTGGACAATAACTAAACGAGCCTTTTCATAAGCGCCCGAATTAAATGGAGCAAATAGCATTTAATTCCATTGATTTCCGTGGATATCTCCTGGACTCTACATGGACCATCGGATTCATACAAATACTGAAGGAAAAAATCTAAATTTTTATTGCACTTTCGCAAAATTTAATTACATCCATATTTTTTTGCATGATTCGAATACATCACTAGGTCGCCTTAAAATTTACTTCGCTTTGTGGAACAATTTCACACTCTATGCATCATGCTCTTTTCACAAAAAAATAAGTTCAACATATTGGTACTAATTCTAGAAAGAACAGCCGAACTTCGCTATTTCGTCCATTAATTTACTCAAAATACATCTCCAGTATTCTTGGTGAACAAGATAGAGAGTATTTCTAGGTTACCTGCTGGCATAGCAAAATTTAGCTCAAATGTATCTGAAATTCCCATTTCCAACTCTCAGTGCTGAAAGCAACCTACGACGGTATTCATAAACAAAAAGTTGCGATTAGTTCCATGCTTACTCAAATGTTTTGCCTATTCTAGGATTATTTAAGGTAGGAATTAATGGTCACTATAAAAGCAAAATTGTACCAATTTAATGTTAGTCATGATGATTTCAAATGAAATAATTTTTAACTGGTCTAGCTTTGTTCAATGGGAGCTTGAACTACAGACTATGAGTCGGTGCTTTTCATCACATCGTACGGCATTTCCACCTTATTAAAGTGCTAAAAAATGTGAATTTCGAGTGTCAGTTGTTGCAACTCCGTATATATTCTCTGCCATTCCGCATTTAGATGCCGTTAGAAAGCATATTACCTGTTGATGCAAGAGGAAGTAGGCCCAGGGCATCCGTTATAGTTGAAAGTTATGTCGATTTAGCAAAAACGGAAAATGAACTTTGAATGTTTAAATAGTGCCATACATTCACGTATGTTATTAGAAATATGAGCATGTTAAATTTCAGCAAATCCTAAAGTTTTAATGAAATAAGTCGCCTCCATAGAACTGCCATAACCAACTGACGAATACTGCGCAACCAATAGACGTGCTACACATCTTGGGATGCGCGGGATTGTGTGACCCACGGCTGAGTCACACTTTTCTGGTCGCATCGTCGCCCCACATAATGTATCGAACAGATGAACAGGTGATCATCCAGACAAAACTAGTACCAACAGTGGTCATTAAAAAATCATCGAAACAGCGCTCTGGCCCCTTGCGGCAGATATGTAATTAATACGGAGTCCTCAATGGTTTAAATGAATATGATCAGTTATAGTTATATCATTTGAGTGATTGTTTCTTCGTTCATTTTGGAAGAGCATAGACATTCCAAAAAATCATATAATCGCAGCCAAAATATTTCATTTCCTCACCACAGCTTTCCCAGCCTTCCTCAACTGATCGATCACTCTCCATAAAAATTGCTGGGATCCTGGATCCATACCGGCTGATGGCTCATCCTGAAGGAATAACAGAAGGTTTAGGTACAGGGCACTTTATTCTTTCATCTAAACAATTTACATCTCCCTTAGGAGTTGCTATGATTTGTTAACTGCAAAATAAGGAATAAGTGAAGTTTGATATTCTCGAGTACTGTTTTTGAATTGCAGCACCCCGAAGCATAAAACAAGTCCCCATGTTCTATGTGACTCTTCGCAACTGCTTCGGTGTTTGCTTATCTTTCAAATTTTTTCGCGCTGCAGAACGCAAGAATAGAAGAAAAGACTCACCAACAAAACAAGTGATGGATGGCTGATCAACGCTATAGCAACAGAGAGTTTCCTCCTATTCCCTCCAGAAAGAGCAGAAGTGACCGTCGAAGCGTAGGGACTCAAATGAAGTGACACGAGAAGTCTTGATATGAGCTAAAAAACTAGAAAAGATCATGGCTGCTCCTTTAACTTCACAAAATTTTATCTCACCGGTTTGATATGTGACTCCGGTATTCCTCGTATTCTAGCGAACAATTCCATATTTTCATTTGTAGTCAACTTCATGTTCAGTGCATCAAATTGAGGGCAGTAGCCTACTTGTTTGAAAGAGGATCGGTCCCCAACAATCATACTAAACATCTCGTTGACAAGATTTGCGTATATGCGCAGTTCAAAATGGGTACCTTCTTCCGTGTATGTGTACTGTTCCACTACCTGGATGTATCTTTTGCGTCAGAATAGAAAATGTGGTTGTTTTTCCTGCTCCATTTAGGCCAAGAAGACCAAAACATTCTCCACGATCCACAGCAAATGAAACATTTTGGACAGCAAGAGTTTTTCGTGTGTAACTCTGAAAGGAAATGTTGGAATTAAGGAGGGAGATCTGTACGAGTATGGAATGATAGCATACAACAAAATGAGCTTCAGTAACTAATACATTGGTTGTAAAATGCTTATGCTCTAACTTGGGGAGGAAAGCATACTGACGGTGCTCCGAGCTACCTACACCATACGCTAGTCTATGAAATTTCTTAATTTATATAAAATTAGTAAAAGCATGTTCTTATAAGGTTTTTAAATTTTGATCGTAGCTTATTAGAAGTCTCTGATATCCAACTACTTCATATTTATTGCCCCCAACCTTGGCTAAGTCCTTCACAACCAGCGGGTTGTCGGCGGTATCCTCAAGTTCGTCCACTCTTCTCTTTTCGGCAATAACATCATCATCCGAAACACCCTTACTACCTTCAAGAAGCCGGTGCGTAGTCATCTTTTCATACCTCCTGCAAAGTAACCATTTTAATGACTAATAAGAGCTCAATTTTCAAAAATAATTTATTACCTTAGAAATCCAAAGGGTTCTTTCTCCAGAATAAAGAGAGTTATAGCAGCAACAATGGTATGAATAAGAAGGCAAAGACAATATTTCCCCATGAGATCCCACTGAAGAAGTGAAGGAATTGGCAGCGAGTGTACAAGATCGGTACGATGTAGCTCTTCTAAAATATTGCAATCTTACTGGTGAAAAGGTGTTGTCATGTTGTTTCTTTTCAAGCTAATAAAAGTAGGATTTTTGGCGCGATTCTATAAGTCATCGAAAAGGTAAATCTTGCTCTATATGACAGTTTGCCTATACCAACTATACTATTTTTGTACGATTTGAAAATTTTGAAACAAAAATTTGGAGAAATACAAAAAGCTGCTAACAATTGTTCTGGAATAGTAAGATTTTGGATTTCGCTAAAATTTTATTTAATGGGGTCATGGCATTATGAATTTCATTTTCAATGGCACATAGGAATTGTTGTGAGATTTCGCAAATAGACTATGGACTCGAAATTAGGAGTTTATCCAAAAATTAGTTCATTGAAAATAACTGCGACCTTGATCACAAAGATCACATCCATTTCGTACAAAACGCATTACTGCAAGATTACGATAGTAAGTGACGAACTGGTCCACACTGTTGGTTGGCTTGAAAGGAATAGGATTTATGCGTTTATACTACGAAATGGTCTTATCATGCAAAATGCATGTGATAGTCGTGATCCGCATTTCAAATAACACGTCAAGCAAAGCTTTACAAAATATTACATTTTGAAAACGAATATCAGTGCCGCTACTTTT